GGCCAGGGCGAGCGGAGCGGAGCGCGGCGGCCATCCCGCCCCGGGGCGCCCGGCGCTGCCCGCGCTCAGCCCGCGCTCCTCGGGCCGCCGCACTTGCCCTCGAGGCGCGCGAAGCTGCGGCCTCCGGCAGAGCTTCCCTCCCTCCCCGCTCCCTCGGGAGCGCCCACGTCTGCCTTTTAACCGATCTGGGCATTTTTTCACTTTTATTTTTTTAACGTGACTCCCCTAAGGGTGGCGTAACGGAGAACTGTCGGCCTCAAGGGTTTCCCGGTATACAGCCCCATCCCGCAAGGATTAGGCACAGGTTTATAATGGGTGCGTGTGCTGAATTGCAGGTGCTTTGGAGAATTTTGTCGGTGGTGTGTCGGTGCTTCCTCAGATCTTATCCTGATGCACATCCATATCCTGAAGCTACATGTATTCATACGCTCAAAATTTATGGATTTTAGCAGGAATTGCTCATCTCTGACTGTGGAATTTGGGCTACAGACAAGAGAAATTGCTTTTTAGGCAACGCTGCCCATCACACAATAAGTCCATTCAAAGCAACAGCAGTATTTATGTGTATTTAAGTATTTGATTTAAGTATTTGTTTAGTATTTGCTGTGTTTGCAGCAAAACTTTGCAAATTCTTGTGGTAAATGTAGTTTCAGACTACTTTTTTTTTTTTTTTTTTTTTTTAATAAAGGCAGTACAGTTACTTATAGCACCTTGGTTTACTTTGTAGTATCGGATACTTATATATATCTCTTATTTCCTAATCCTGAATGCTGTTCTTGGGAACTATTAAAAGAGCTGATCTAGATTTGAACTAGATAAGCTACTGAAGCCACATGTACCCAATCGTGTGGACTTTAATAAACTATGCTAATTTAAATCCATATCATCTCAAGAGACTTCTTCTGAATCTATACTACTTCCTGCTTTTTGCCCTTTTTTCTTTTCCTCAGTCCAGAAGCGCAGCCCTTACTAACAAATACAAAGCTTTGGACCATATTTAATCCATTCCTATGGGAGTTAATGAAAAGACACCATCTACAGAGCAGATTGCTTGAGTTTTGCCTGCAGCTCTGCATTTAGGCAAGACCTTGCAGTGACAGCTCTCTGTCAAGGGCTGTCCTCTGAGTGCAGTGCCAGGCATACTGTTGTTGCCAAGAAGTAAGTAGCAGTAATCAGTGCACAATATTCCTTTTGGACTCTGCCTGTGCCGCTCCTTAATCAGCTGCCACGCTTGCTCAGAGGCCGTTTCTTCCCTTGCTGGATCCTCAGCTGGCTGAGGATTGCAATACTCTCAAGTTATGCACGGGCTTTCTCCAGCACGGTAATGTCACCACACCGGTTGTTACCTGCTTTTATGGACTGCCTGTTATCCTGCCTGCCTGTTATCCTCAGTCAGCAGGCTCTAGGAGCCTGTGTGTTTGGAAGTGGTGGAAAGGAGATGAAGAGCTTCTTGGTCAGTGCATTCTGGTAGCATGGCAGCTCACATTATCCTTTTCCCTAGGGGCCACATCTAAAGAACATAGATATTAGTTTTGTGGAAGTTTTGATATTTCACTTTGTTTTGCCAATTGATGGGGCGCGTCGGAAATAACCAGACATCAAAAGAAAGAACAGACGTGTTTACTATTAATGTCAAATAATACAGAAATGAAATGATACATAAAACAATAAGCTTATTATGTGCTGAGTTTTAACTATAGACAAAATAAAGAAGGTAATGCACTTAACCATTGCTATACCAGACAAAGAATAGCAATTAAGAAAAAAGATGCATCACCAATTGCCTAAATACATTACCTTAATCGAGATCTGCAGTCGCTGGGAGCCCCTGTTGTTTTGTAGAACCCTCCTGGCAACTGGGAGCTCCTATGTGGTGCATCCACCCTTAAGTGAGGTCTCCAAAGACACTGTGAGAGGGTCCAGCTTTTATAAAACCAAATCAGCAATACCCGCATTTTCTTTGTTAGCGGTAACATCTGCTATGTCCTACTTTCTGTATCATCCGGGACTGGGACCTGGCCAGAGCCCCAGCTTTGCATGGGGAAGTTCCCTTCCTGGTCAAAAACGCTTATACAAGAGCCTACAAAAGTTACAATTTCACAAGAGCCTACGTGCAGGTTAGCAGAAGCAGTTTACAGGTGAGTTCCATGTAGTTCCACAAAAGCAGAGTCCTTTTCAGCTGTAAGTCAGCCCTGACTTGGGCCTGTGGTTCAGGCCCCAGCAGTTCACACTTCTCCAGAAAAATGAATATTCTTTCTCCCTCACCAAAGTTTATCGTGGAAAACAAGGATTCTTGCTGGTCTTACTGAGTGTGATCCTGCTAGGTGAATGGAATTATTGAAGTATAATAATGCTGTTAATGGGCATCATGCATGATGCTCCATGCTTCAGGAGTCCTCGCACCAAGGCCTTCCCTCTTCCTCCCCACCTGTTTGTTTCAGAAATGAGGAACACTGTAGATATGATGTTTATTCAAAAGTTCATGGAATTGAGGTCTAATTTATTTTCTGCATTCAGAGCTGAAAATGTCTGAAGAGGTACCTGATGACATCCCATCTGACCAGAAACCTGAAGTCACAGAAATGCCCAGCAGTGACACGTTGCCTCAGGAGCCCGTGCCACCCGCCATGGAAGCTGGGGTCTTGCCTGAGCCTTTGCAAGACGAAGGTGACCAGGCCACTCAGCGTGCCAGTAAGGGACAGGAAGGAGACACGCTTACTATTGAAAATCCTTTGACTGAAAAAGTAGTTGAAAGTTTGCCTTCCAATGGAGAGGTGACGGAAAACGTGCCTGCTGAGTGCATTGAGACTGTAAGCCTTGATGCTGAGCCTGAATCTGAGGGAACACTGCATGAGCAAAGTGGTCCAGTAAGTAAGATCTTCTTTTCTAGAAAAGCTGCCTTCCCTGCTTTATAAGGAGAATAGAATTTTGTAAAATGTACATGTTTTTTGCAGTGGTTATCTTGCTTGGACTACTCTGCAGAAAGGCATAAGCATCCATCTGAGGAGCTCATGGCAAAACTTTTGTCACTAGTCATTCGGGGCTGCTTTTCTGTATACGTGAGCCTTCACTTTTCAGAATCATTCTTCAGAAGGCATCATCGTCAGTGAAGTTAAGAATTTCATTGCAAAATGCCTATTTGTAAACTGTATTTCCTTGTAAGCAGCCACACAACCTGCTAAGCTGGTATATTCGTTTATTACATGCTTGATCCTGTTGCCTGGTGGGTCCGTTGTGTTTCCTGCTGCCTCCAGACAATATACA